CTTTGAAAGACTGAAAGACTGTCCAGAGACTGGCTGATACAATTATGGCATATCCAAACAATGCATTATCATGTACTGCTAAAACAAATCAGATATGCCCTGATGCAGAGTCATCTTCAAGATACAATTAAGTGCAAAAAACAACAACAACAACAAACAAACAAGAAGTGGAGCAATGTGTATAATATGCATCCTCTGGGCCAAAGAAAACATTTGTTAATATATGTCTACTTTATATCTGCAGAGGATCCATAACAAATATACCAGAGATAGCCTGCAGAGGGTTTTGGACAGAGATGGAAAGAGCCAGGTCACAAGATGGGCAAAAAAACCCCCTTATTTTTCACTGTATATTGTTTTGTAATTTGAATTTTATACCATGTGAATATACTGCCCATTCAGACTTAAAATTCTACTTTTAAAATGCTCATTTTGGCCGGGCGCGGTGACTCAAGCCTGTAATCCCAGCACTTTGGGAGGCCGAGACAGGTGGATCACGAGGTCAGGAGATCGAGACCATCCTGGCTAACACGGTGAAACGCCGTCTCTACTAAAAACTACAAAAAACTAGCCGGGCGTGGTAATGGGCGCCTGTAGTCCCAGCTACTCGGGAGGCTGAGGCAGGAGAATGGCGTGAACTCGGGAGGCGGAGCTTGCAGTGAGCCGAGATTGCGCCACTGCACTCCAGCCTGGGCAACAGAGCGAGACTCCTTCTCAAAAAAAAAAAAAAATGCTCATTTTGATGCTTTTAATGGTAAATTCAAAACTTTACGTAGAACTATTATACCTAACACATTGTTTTGGAAGATTTGCCTTTCCCTGAATGCTACTACATGCTATAAGGAATAAAAATAGGGTGAGTTTTTACTCCTCAAAACAGCCCTGTAAGACAAGTGCTGTGTGAAGACAAGAGGCATCTATTTTCTCTCCTACACCTGCCTTTCTATACGCTCCATGGTCAGGGCTGGAAGCCAGAGAACTACATTTCCCAGACTCCCTTGTCATCTGACTCAGCCAGTGGGAGGCACTGGTGGGAATTTGGAAGATGTGAGATGGGGAAAGCAATTCCAATCTCTGGCTTCTGGTTGCACCCCAGGCCACACTGGTGGTTCCAGTTGTGTGTCAGTAGCACCAGGCGGCAAGTGCAGCTCCAGGCTCCTGCTCAGCAGCTGAGGAATCAGTTTCTGGAAACAAATTCTCCTTTTGCTCCTCCAGCCTTGCGGGGGTCATAGTAGCTACCTCCAGTTACTAGGCTTTGGGTGCCCTTGTCCTCCCCTTGGTTCTCATGCCCTTCCAACACCTTTGCAAACAATACTCTGTATTAAATGGTTTTTCCTCTAATTACACACTGGCTAATATAGATAAAATTACTCATATTTTACAGGTGAGAAACTGAAATTCAAATACAGAAAGTGACTTAACCAAAGGCAAGCTAAGTATCACCCTTGTCTCATCATGCTCCAGCCACCTTGGTCCTAACCTTATTGGAACACCCCAAGCCCGTCTGCACTGCAAAGCCATTGCATTAATTCACTCTGCACAGAACATTCTGTCTTTTTTTTTTTTTTTTGGGAGACAGATTCTTGCTCTGTCGCCCAGGCTGGAGAGCAGTGCCACGATCTCGGCTCACTGCAACCTCTGCCTCCCGGGTTTACGCCATTCTC